ATAAAAACTATTATTGAAATTGAAGTTTATTTTTTCACTGTTGGTCAGAGTTGCACGATTAAGTAGCCAATGCTTGCTGGCTTGCATTTTGCTTCGGCAGGGATGTTCTTTCCATGCATTTGTCCTTTGCTTTGCGAATGCTGCCTATCCTATGAACAGGTGACATGAGTAATATGCTCGCCTCCGCGACTTAAATTCGCAGGTGCCCGCCAGGTAACGTTAAATAAGCAATGCTTCTGGCATCTTTTGTGCTAAAAAATGTGATAGTTAAGAGAAAAAAAAAAGATTGGTTTAATAGGCTTCATAGACTGACATTTCTGTTTATATATACCAATATTATTTTCTACAATTACAATGACATATTAACGTCAGTATTGAATATTTCTTCAAAAAATGGTAACAGCTGCTGACTAAAAAAATTATTTATCTCTTATTTTAGGCACAATTTTGCAATGGGAAAAAATTAATAAGCAAAAAATAAGTATATTTACATTAATTTTAGGTTATTAAATCAAAATAAAATTTAAAACTTACTAATTCAAAAAAAGAGATTCATAGACTCCTTAAACAAAAAAAGGTAGAATCATAATTCCATATGAAATTTCAGCTTCGCATCTTTTGGGTACAATCTCTATGTTGTTCAAATGAAAGTCTATTTTATTCAGAAAAGTTTTTTGATCATCAGTTAAGCTTCTTCAGTCTGAACAGCTTGAATTACTGCATTCTTTTGTTAATAGCATTAAGCGGGAAATCTTTGTTAATATCTATTGAAGTCAATCTGAGAAATTCATCTAACTGTTCATTAACATGAAAAAAGATTGGATATTTCAACAATATATCATTTACTGAGATTTTATTGTTTATGTGCTCCCGGCGAAAAGAATAAGTTAAGGCCATTAAGTTTTTTTTTTTTTAGTCTTGCCACCCATATTTTTTAGAAAATTCTTCTTTTAATATTTCAATTTGGAATTGAGTATTTTCATCTTCGCCAGAAAAATGGTCTGGCTCCCAATTTAATGTACTTGATGCTTGTCTTTTTACTCTTTTTGGAATTTTCTGTCCCTGTGTTGCTTTGTTCATCACTGACACTTCTATTGAGTTGTCCGCTTGTCGCAATCGTTTCAGTTTGTTCATCAGTTTAAGTTCCAAGGAACCAATTCTTTATCCTATATCATTTTTTAAATGAGGAAACAACTTAACGAGAGAAAGACAAATCTGTTGTCTTTGTAATTTACTGGGGCATTTGTTGAATTGGTGAACATAGTTTGCCAGATGGCCAATTAACTCTTTAGAATGTTCCCAATTTAAATCCATCATTTGTTCTAAGGCTACTTTTGAAGGTTTGGAAAAAATCTTCAATAGTAAGAATTCTTTTTTGGCCAGCATTTATTTTTTAAATTCAAAACGACTTCAACACTTATATTTTCCTTGGGGGTATTTTCGGAAAGAAATGCTGAAATAGTAGAACTGTGGGATGAAGGACGTTCTATCCTTTCAATGTTAAACTTGTCTTTATTAGAAATCTCACTTAAATTAGCAAGATCCAACATACTCTTCGAATTCCTTATCAAATTTTTTATAACATATGAATTGGGTGAGAGACTATACGTTCTCTCAACTAGATCATAAATGCCTTCACCTGAGTTCAAGTCTTCAATTTTTGAAGACAGTTCCTACTGCAGAAGTATCTTCATTGTCTAAATAAGAAAATATTAAATTGTAGTCTAAAAATTATTAGCAAACGTACTAAAATATTTTAAAATTTTCCATGTTCTAAATTGTTTGTAATACAATTGAATATCAATCCCAATTTTATTAGAATCAAACTATGAAGAAATAATGTAAACAAAAAATTAGCCACGAAAGAAACAAATTTTGCCCAAACACAGTCTAAAAAAAATAAAATCAGCAGTTTCTTTTATTTGGGGGGGGGAAGGGGATACCTTGCAATTTGAAAGATATAAGACTTTATATTTGTATACTACTGCCTTTCGGCTATAAAATATAATTTCTGAGAGTCAAAATATGCTACATTAAAAATACGTAGTCTATTTATAGAAATTCTGAGAAAATCATTCTAACGAATTTGGAATAATGCATTCTCAAAGATTTGCTGAAGTTGAGCGTTGGTTTTTCATCCAAAATTTTGCAAGTAAATGCTAACTCAAGGGAAAATATTCGTTTGCCAATGGTAAGGAGAAACTGTCTAGTTTCATAAAAATCATAAATAAATTTATCATTTCTGAGAGTCAAAATATGCTACATTAAAAATATGTAGTCTATTTATAGAAATTCTGAGAAAATCATTCTAACGAATTTCGAATAATGCATTCTCAAGGATTTACTGAAGTTGAGCGTTGGTTTTTCATCCAAAATTTTACAAGTAAATGCTAACTCAAGAGAAAATATTCGCTTGCCAATGGTTGGGAGAAACTGTCTAGTTTCATAAAAATCACAAATAAATTTGTTTTAGAAAGGTATCCGTATATATCTTAAAATAAGCTTGGTATTTTATCAATAATTTTTTATGCTAACGAAATATTTTTTTAACAGTGCATTTCACAAAATAATACATTTTTTAATAAATTTGAAAATAATCAGAACAAAAAAACTAATACAAGACTATTACTGTTTTTTTTTTGTCGTTTGCCTGTTCTGGCAGAGGGGGTGCGATTGTTCTTGTTTTTCAGTGGCGCCATCTATGGCCAAGAATTCGACTTCTGCCACACCATTCACACAACCACAAACCCGTTTATAGGGCGGGTCCCATTCACGCACACAAAGGAGAAAGGACATAGAACACACAGAGAGAGAAAAACATCCATGCCTTGCCCGGGATTCGAACCCAGAACCTTTCTGATGCAAGGACAGTTATTCATTACTCTTATGAGGCAATATGAAAATGAATATTACTATTTTTAGACTAAATTAAAGTTTAATGTTTTTTTTTTTAAATTTCATCGAAGTTTTCAAATAACCATTAATGTGTGAGGGGGAAAATGTAGAGGACATTTAACCAAGTACCTGAAGCCGTTTGCCGAGCATAATTTTAAGATAAAATTATTCCAATATAAAATGTTAAATAATTTTTCAAAACTTTAAATGTGTTGGCAACTGCTATTTAAACTTAACTAGTATGCCATAAATGGTAAACATCTTACAAAACAAAACAAAAATAAAAATTAAGACAATTATTATCTGAATGATGTTTTGCTTTATATGAAATAAAAAGTACAAAAAATTGTACTATTTCGATTAACGCAGTAAAAATGATTAAAAAAAATCTCACAATTTAGATTTACTAGAAAGCAGAGAGTTCCTATAAGTAAGAGTCTCAAATATTCTTTACTACTATTTTAAGATACCACCGGCCAACTTAAATTGTAACCCAGTTTCCATGACAACCTACCTTTCTCTTCAGTATTAAATTGAGGTAAAATGGAGTTTAATTTGCTTTTGAAAATTTTACTACAAAGTCTTTTAAGAATGCAAAGATAAAAATTCATGTAATTATGTGACATGACGAACAAAAATAAACGGTATAGAATGATGCCACATGGAAATCAAAACAGAAGCACAAATATTAATAAAAAATTTTAATCTTAAAAGAAAACACTAATTTTTTGTTGCGCAAGAGAATTCAATTAAAACGCGGATTTAGAAAATTTTCACCGTCAGTAAATTTGGCGGCATGCTATGATGCTAAAATATTGCCGAATTCACCGTTTATTTGTCACTGGTATTGCACTTTCTGTGCGCATAAAATGGATTTGTCTCCTTATTTTCTGATAAAGAGCTAATACAGATTTTAAAATAGTTAATTAATACATACAACGAATATAGTTTTTGAGAAGAAATTTGAAACTAACTCTTTCAGAACAGACAACTACATTTTTAAAGATGATATGAAAAAAATGAAAAGTAATTAATGCAAATAAATAAAAAAAGTTTACTTATCTGCAAAAGAAATAGAAAATTTCAAAGACGACTTACGTTAGATGATAACAAGCTTCGACAGCAAAATCGTCCATTAGTCATCTCATAGTACGAAAGTTTGGTGCAATTGCTCCATGAATGTATTTATCGATCATATTTACCAATTTATGGTGCAATTAGAAATTTTGCACCAAGTATTGGCTAAACATTTACCCAGATTGTTTAAAGTGTAGCAATTTGTTTTGATGTTTGTTCATGTTAAACCATCAAAAGTTTCCATCATTGTTTTTTTAGAAATCAAATGTTGGAATGATCATGAACCAATATCATCTCAGTATAAGAATTCGGACTGATTTACGATGGGCTAACATAAGAATAGCAACTTGTTTTGATGTTTGTTCATGCTAAACCATCAAAAGTTTCCATCATTGTTTTTTAGAAATCAAATGTTGGAACAATCATGAACAATCATCATCCCAATGTAGGAATTCGGTCTGATTTATGATGGTGCAACATAAATCAGACCGAAGAATTTCCATCAAGAATTTTGACTTGGATATCAGTGATGCCAAGTGGCTTGGATATCAGTGATGCTATTTAAAAATATAAAAACTCGTGTATGTGTCCTGAAGACAACAAGCAACACGTTAAAAGTTGACATTTTTGTGTACGAAGCAGGGAATATTCTCATGCTTGACGTATTCTTCTATTAAAGAGGAAAAAGATGAATGAAATGAAATTTAGATCCTTAAAGAAAGAAAGAAAGCATAGAGCTGAAGTAACATTATCAAAGATGTAAACGGTATAAATGAAAAACATGAACTTAATTATTTAAAGGTAAAACTTCAACAAACAAATCATTCACAGTTGATCAATTGAATTACGCATATTAGTTAGTTATTGAGTTAAATTATACCAACTACCTCCAGTAGATTGAAACAAATAATAAAATTAAACTTTGAATAATGCAATTTAATGCTAGCAATTTTATCATATCAATATAATACACACGAGGTAAGAAAATACTACTTCAATCTGATACTAATATGCAGTATTGCTTGCAGGAAAACAAGAGCCTCAAATCAAAGAAGCTATGCAACATTATGCAGACAAAACTTGCATCAGATTTGTACCAAGAACTGATGAAGTACAATACGTGAAGATTTTTCCTGGAAAGGGGTAAAGAATTTTTATTTACGATTTTTGGAGAGCCCTGCTTAATTTAGTGAAATTCTGTCAAAATATAACAGTGCTAGGCAGTTAGTTTAGATTTTTTTCTATATTACGTTCCATATCTAGATTTAGTTATTTCGTAATTTTTTAGTTGATCGTTAGTTTATCTTTTTCGAATTCTTCGCCGAAAGCTCAACAGCCTTCCATGCAATTTGCCTTGAATCATGGGAAAAAAGCAAAAATTTTTTATGTAATACTTAAAAAAACTAGTTTTTTTTACGACAGTTTTATAACCCAAGTCAAAATTTTTGATGGTTTATGTTCGTTTCAGTGTGAGTCATGATGGTCCAACATCATTTGATGGTCACCCTCATCCAACGTTTTCCACTGCGTGTTCATGGTTTTTGCTATGCCAACAAACTTCCAACATTCCATGATGGAAAATGGTACTTTAAATACTATGGTGGTTAACCATCAAGAGAAGTTTGACTCTCATGAACCAACAATTCATGATGATCCTTGAGCGTTCATGATGGTTCCAACTATACATTTCCATAATGGTTTAATGGGAATTCTTGTTGGTTCTCAGCAATATACCATCAAAACTATTTTGGTTTTTTTTATGTTGGACCATCATAAATCAGTTCGAATTCCTATATTGGGATGGTGGTGGTTCATGATCTTTCCAACATTTGATTTTTAAGATACAATGGGGGATATTCTTAATGATTTAATATTAGTAAACCATCAAAACAAGTTGCTATTCTTATGTTGGACCATCATAAATCAGTCAGAATTCCTACATTGAGATGATGGTTATTATCAAGATTATGTTGGTTCATCAATAAAATACCATCAAAAATTTTGACTTGGGAACGTATGGGTTTTAATGACCGATTAATAGTGATGGCATGACCAGACGATCGATGGGCATGATTTTTCATTTGAAGTCAAGTGTTTCGAAAGCATGAGCATTTTGCACTGGTTTGAAAATGTTCGCAGTGATACTCATCCAATTTTATGTTTCGTCAATCATTTGTAAAAATAGATGCTGCAAATTTACTCTTCATCAGATTTCAATCAATTGTTCGTCTCTTAACCGACATCGTATTACCTTTTTTAGTACATAGTTCTATTTTATATTTGAAGAATTTGTTAGGTGCTTTTCTACGCGCAATTAATATTTTATACTATAGACAACTGTTTTATTCTATTTTCAATATTATTCACTTTTGAGAGCGTATGTTAAGTCATTTATCAATTTCCATGTATTTCAAAAAGAAAAAAAAAATTGTAGTATAGCTGAATAAAGGGTCCAAGCTAGGGTAAAGAAGTTATTTTATTTAAAAATAAATACCCTCAGCACAAAATTTACAAATAAGAAAGGGAAAGTGGTGGCATAAGAGTCTTAAACGAATGAAATCTTAGTCTCAACTACTGAGTTCAGCAAACTGATGATAGATGGCACTGTAGGAGGAGGAGGTTATAAGTATACATTTCATTTTTGATTTGTTCTTAAAACTCATGTGTTTGGCGCAGCATGTACTTTTGTGTTCCTTTTGTCATTAAACCCTACATAAACGTAAGAATATGAATGAGGATTAAAACTTAAGATTGTGGGTAATTTTCGCAATTATGATGGAGTAGGTGTCATAATAGTGAATTATTGGAAATTAACATCAGGATAAGTAAAATATAATTCGTTTGCCCAATAATTCGTTGGCCTCACATACCTTTTAATAGGTAAAAAATGAGAGAAAACGAGCAATTTTCAGTCATCTGCCAATTTTATAATAATTATTCTAAAAATACCAAATTTTGAAACATGACACTATACATAGTCTACATTTTGAAAACAATGCAAAAAATTAAGAAATTTCTTAATTAATTGAAATTTTAATTCAATAAAATTTTTCTGTTTTTATTTGTGCGCAAGTTTCTGGAAAAAGTTTTCATAATATTTGCTTGATTTTTTTTGTGAGTATAGAAATATATGGTAAAACTAAAATGACGAAGAATGAACAAATAATTTTACTTTTTTCTCTATGCAAAATTTTTTTTAAAATTTATTAAAAAATTTAAAAAAAAAATTGCTATTTCATATTTTTAAATGTCAATACATTAATCCCACCTTCAAATGGCTTCGTTAATTTAAAGAAACAGGTATTTGGGACCTGCTGTAAAAATTTTGTGCAATTCTAATCAATAGTTTTTGAGATATTGTGCGCGCAAGGTGTAAAAATAGCATTTTGAGATAAATGAGTTTAAACACAAAACAGGACATATTTTATTAAAGAAAATATATTGTGGCTAAAATTAATATAAAAATTTGCTAAAAAATTATTGAAAACTATCACCTAATTGTTTTCAATACTTTTTTATATTACTTTTTTATATTACTGAAAAATATTAATTCATTACATAATACTTGGAATAGTAACAACCAATAATTAATAATTAAAATTCATAAATTTCACATGATATGTATTGCGAAGAATATCTCAGCTAATAGGATTTTGGAATTACATGAAATTTTCATAGTAAATCTTAACATTATGTGTTTTTGAAATAACAAACTGTTTTACATATAGAAATAACATTATTATTAAAAAATATATAACTTTAATTACTTAAAGAAAAATTGATAGTTTTCATATTAGTAAAACTTTTAACTTTATGTTTATAGAATTAGTGTTTGCTTGAGCATAATAAATTCATACTGTTTTGTTAAAATTTTTCAACATATAACTACTAAACACAAAAATAACATTAATGAAGCTGAGATGTTCAACAAAAGATTAAAATATAACAAATATACAAAACTATAAATATTTTACGCAAACTCATTATCACAAGTGTCAACTCAAAACTCACCGGCACTAGATGAAGTGCCTTCCTTTGCAAGGAAAGATTGTTGTTCAGCTGAAAGCAACATCTTTCGAGCTTGTCGACTTTCTTTAGTTCGAAGAGAAAATTGTCTTTCGGCAGTCCGAATCCTTTGCTTGTCCATATTTACAGCAAAATTAAGGGCATATTTTCCCACGTCCAAACCTAAGGACTGCATTACTTGTAATCGACCTGTATTGCCATCATTGAATAAGATAATAGCTTCATTTGTAGCTATTTCTACGATTCTCCGACCACTACTAAAAGTTTTAGGACACAATTTCCATAAAACAGAATTAAAAGATTCATTATTATTCTTGGTTTTACCCCCTAAACACCTCATAAGTAATGTCGGTTTCGAGAGATCATTGAAAATTGATTTTATGGCATCTATTACTGCCATGGGCAGGATGTTCTTATGATTATAAGTTGATTCTGAGCCTTTAGCTTCATTCACTTGATACTTAACCAAGAATTGAGTCCAACAGGACAGAAACTGTGCAAAGGCTCCTCATTAGTCGAACGAAGATGAAAATAAACAGCCCACACAGCTTCACGCATATCTTTAAGGCTTGACTTGTTTTCGCGAATTGCATTTCCATAAAATGCTGACATCTTATCGATAACCTTATCTGTCAACCTTCCTTTTCCTCCAAGTGACTTTCCATCGCTGAGTTTCGAACTTACTTGCGTCAATTTCCTTAAGCGTGTCCCCATCCTTTTCTGTATATGGCCCACACACTCTAGCTTTGTCAATGAAATATCACTACCGTAAGGTTGAGAATTAGATACTGCTGTAAATGTTTTAGCATCTCCATCACCAATGTAAGATAAATATCTTACAGAGTATTTACTCATTGACCGCTGAAAAATATTGATCTGTTTCCATCTTTCCAGCAGAACCACTGTGGTTTTTCAGGCACAGGGACTCACTTTTGTCTCGTGTTTCCCAATCCTTATACTCAGCCGTCCCTTTGCGTCGTTTCCAAGAATCGCAGCCTTTGCAAAAAGATGACAAAACTTCAGTATCAAGCACTTTACCAGTTTTATCCCCAATCACAACACACACTCCAATGCGAGAGGTATGGCCTCGAGTTTTCCAAGTGCCATCACCACTAATAATTATATCTGTAGATTCTGTTTCACTAACCTCTTTTGAAGCAGCTTTTTGCATGGACGTTTCAGCGACTTCATTAGTGCTCGACAGTAAAGAAGTAATAATGCTTTTGTAAGACTTTTGAGCAATTGGGGGAGGGAGATCCATAATTCCACAAAATGTTTCCATTGCTGCATGCCCCTGCCCTGTGCATCTCATGGCATAAACAAATCGCTTGTTAATTTCTGCACTATTTTTATGCTCTCCAAGCATTTTAGAATTTCGAAATTTAGAAAGGGTATTGCACTTAGAACAGTCAATAGAAATAATACAGGATAAGCCTCTAACACTTCTTTCAGTAAGTGTTATTTCTCCATCACACATCTTGCACTTCAAACAATTTTGAATATTTGAAAATAATATATTCTTATCTATAATAATATATCCATCAAAAGAATTGTTTTCCTCTAGAAAAGAAGTATTTGCTTCAATATCTATCTTTCTACTTGATGCATTCTCTGCATCATTTTTCATCTGCTTTGCTTTTCCATGAGTATGGTAATTTCCAGTAAACTTACGTTTCTTAGGTCTTGTTCCAGATAAACGTTTAGTACGACAATTCGTACTCATTTTTGCAGAAAAAAAGCAATGAATTTTAGAAATATTATGTAAGAAATATAAAGCAAAACAAAAATTTATCGCCAGAGATCAAACCATGCAATCAAAATCGAACAGAAATCCAAAGTTAAAGTATATAAAAGGTTTAGTGGAAGTAGTAATTTTTTGTTTTAGACTGAAAAATATATCTGAGGCTTGTTTAATAGCAATTAAACTGAATTATACGTTATGACGTAAATTCAAAACACCCATATATTCTTTCCCCGAGAGCACGTGTTGTTTGACACGCCTGCTTCCAATGTAAACATTGCGAAACTTCAATTTCTTCCTGACTTATTTTTTCGATAACTTTTGATCTAATGTGAATTTTTTTATGCTTCTTTATGCGATTTTTTTGAAGCATTAAAAGGTATGTGAGGCCTTAAAGGGTGCAGAGCAATCTGATCATCTAAGCTTGTGTCTTTAATTTAAAAAGAACCCATATATCGTATATACTTTCTAGTTTTATCCACTTACTCATTAATTTTTCTTTACATAATAAGGAATTCATAAGTTTATTAGAGCTAATCGGTAAATCTTTAGTATAAACTTACACAGATATGTCAAGAGAAACTTTAATTAATACCTCACAATTAGGTATTCTAGAAAAATTCACCTAGCTCAATATAGTATATTTTAATTTTCCTCAGACCAAATCCTCGGGCTTAAAATTTACATCCCTCACACGTTCTCTGCTTTTTAATTTGGTAACTTTTAAGTCAGTCTTTGACCCACAGATAAAGAAGAGATTAAATTTGCTATGGTTAATACTTTACATCAATATTTTCCTCTTCATTTAGGTGCTACTCTCATGTGGGTAAGACACTGAACGAACAGCCACTCTCTTTAGGGGCAGGTTGTTTCAAGTTCGGCACAATAGTTCACGAGTTGGGACACACAGTCGGGTTTTTTCATGAACATTCCAGATCTGATAGAGATGATTTTTTGAATATTCATCGTGAAAATATTCGACAAGGTAAGATTACTAATAGTTAATGCCAAATTCAAATTTTACTTCTACTCAGTTATTAATATATTTTATTTTCAGTACTTTAACTAAAGTTGAGGATATGTTAAAAATTATACCTTTCTTTACCTATTTTAGTATTAACATTTGATTTGTATAGTTTCAATTAATCAGCATTCGGCCTAAGCAAACATATCGCTGGTTCAAAACTATAACGACACATCTGCAAGCATAATACGTTTGCAGATGTGTCGTTTTAGTTTTGAACCAGCGATATGTCCGTTTAGAGGAAGGGTACATTAATAAAGAATGCTCAAGCCATAAATTGTTTTTAGAATAATTGCAATGATTTAGAAATAATTAAATAATCTTTAACAACTATTTACATTGACATTGATTTAAACACAACAAAGTTATAATATTTATGATACTAAAAGAGAAGATCAAGAAATCTGATATATGCCTTTGTTATACTATTATCCAGTTGAAAAGAAAGATTTGATAGAAATTTGTTTTAAGCGGCTGCGACTCACCATTTCTTCATGGTAGATTTTTAAATCAATTAGTATCTTTACACCAACTTCATCATTTTTCGATTGATAAAAATGTCTCAGTTCCTCAATATAAGTTTGAGCATCACTTAAAGTTTTCACTTTTGGTTAGTATTCAGAAAGTAATTGAGTATCAGTGTCTTCATTTTTTCACTCTCGGCATCATTATTTGCAACCATTTCAACAATTTCGTCCATATTTAAATCAATTCTTTTGTACGTTCAATATTTTCGTCAATATTTACAGAATCATTACCGTTGACAATACTTTCTCCAGTCAAGCGAATTAAATTTGTTAATTCAGAAAAGGAAACACCAGAATTTGCGTCATCCACGAAATCTGTATGGATATTGCATTCCGATGTATCTTTTTTGAAGCCTGCCGTAACGACTTACTGCCTTACTTTTTTTCCACGCTGCTATTATCCACAAAGAAGCTTGTAAAACATCAATTTTTACGTTTTCTTTATTTGGCCCATTTAAACTAGTAAAAATTAGTTTCCTGTTAAACACTTCGAAGTTTTTAATAACACCATGATCAAGTGTTTGGCAAACAGACGTTACATTTGGAAGAAAGAATGCAGTTTTTACTTTCTTCAGATTATTGTTAGAGTGAAACGCTGCGTAATCAAGAAAAAGAACTTTCCTGTTTTTGCGGCCCATTTGTCTATTGAGTTCAAGCAACCACTCAGTCATTAAATCCTGGGTCATCCATGCCCGCCGATTAGCTTTCCATTGTATTCCATGCCTAAATAAATTCATTCTTTTAAAACACCTGGGCTTATTTGATTTTCCCATAATTAACGGAAACTCTTGTTCTCCTGGCATACTTGCGCAAAGTAAAATCGTCAATTTTTTGTTGTTGACATTTTACCTCCTTCACGCTTTTCACCTTTTAAAGACAAAGTTTTTTCCCGAAAAAATACCAGTCTAATCATCATTTAATATGTCTTCGGGTGCATATTCCTTCAATAAGGAAGGTAGCTTATCTAACCATTCTTTAACCATGTCAGTATCCAAAGAAGCAGACTCTCCTCTTATTGATTTAATCATACACCTCTTTCTGAACTTTTCTAAGCTTCCGTTAGAAGGTTTAAAATCCATTTGTTAAAAAAGATAACTTATTTCTTTATCTACTTCAATAGAACAGGTATCAATAAAAGGTTTCTTACCTTGTTCTTCTACCTGGGTCGGTACGTACCTAAATAAATCAAATCAGTGACCACAAACTCAATAAAAATACTCCTGGTGAATTGGTTAACATGTATATATTAACAGCACTAAACACTACAAAAACAACATGATCTCTCCAACGACAGTAACGTAATCAAACTAACTAGAAAATTGTTGTTCTTAGAGAGTTCTAAATCTCGTGGCGCCATCTATTGGTTCGTTTTATAGCAAAGGAAAATGGTATTCTGTTTTTAACACTCCCCTTTTTGAGTTTCGGGGCATGTTGAACCGAATCTCAATACTTCATTGTCCAAATCTGGATGGTGGGCGAACAATACGCCAACTCTGGTAGTAGCAGGAACTGAATCAGGAATGTCCGATGATGTTCTTTCTGGCTCATCTTTGGAAGTCACTGGCAGCTGATCTGATCAGTCCATCTTTACTCAGATATTCACTACGGAATCTTGCTCGTAAATCTGTCATCGGTCTTCATCTATACGCAAGTCTTTGATTTAATTCCGTCTTGTCAGTTAGCTTTAATCTATCCAAGTCCGTAGTACTACTAGTACGAGTGTCTTTCAGGAATAAATCAGGTGTTAAAGGACATAAATCATCGGAATCATCGTTAACATATGTTAAGGGTCTTGAATTGAGTTGGCTTTCACAATCACACAAAACAGTTTCAATTTCGTGGTAATTTAAGGATGTATGACCTTCCTCAAAATTCTTTTCAAAAGTCCTATTAACCTCTCAAAAAATCCTCCCCACCATGGAGTAGTTGGAGGTAGGAATCTCCATAAAATTGGAGAAAAAGTTGTCTTTAGTCTTTCTAGTTTGATATTCTTCAGAGAGTTGTTAGTTCCAATAAAATTAGTCCCATTGTCGGAGTAGATAATTGACGGACGTCCTCTGCGTGCGATAAATCTTCTTAAGGCAAATATGAATTTATCTGTTGAAAGTGATGTCAATAGTTCTAATTGTACTGTCCTATAAATCGCACAGGTGAAAATTGCGATTCACACTTTCTTGTTGTCCTTCGTAAGCAACGGTCCAGCAACATCCACTCCTATAACTTCAAAAATAGAAGCGTTTTTTACTCTGTCCTCCGGGAGTATTCCTTCTGGTATTTCAGGTCTTTTCACATTAAATCGTTGACAAGTTATGCAGGTTTTCAGTACCTTTTTTACAGTTCTTCTAGCTTTTAATATCCAATAATCTTCTCTCAGAGCTACCATTAAAGATTGTACTCCAGGATGTCCAAGTTCTTGGTGTTTGTGTAAAATAAGGCTCTTAACAACATGATGATCAGATGGTAAAATAATTGGAACTTAAAAGTTTTCATTGTCTTCTCGCATAATGATTTTTGTTTTAATTCTCACAAGTCCATTAGCGTCTGTTAATATCGACAGGAGTTTCAGACTCTTCAATTTTTCGCCTTGGAATGAGTCTTCTTGAACCCTTTTCAAGATTTTGAGTTCAGCTTTAATAAGCTCTTCTACAGATAATTTTCCTGTTTTCTTACTGCTTGCTCTGGAATTTTCAAAAAATCTATATATCCAGCCTGTAATTCTGATTATTTTCTTGTAGGATGATATGTTGTTGTAAAATTCGTCATCTTTCATATTTAAAGATGATACAATGATTTTCTTCTTCTTGGCATACACTATTTTTTCATCAGGAACTAGATCAAAATTAGGCCAGTTTTCTCTTGATTCTTTAAGCCAAGATGTTCCTTCGTGCCATTGTCTCTTCAATAGGATTTTAACTGTGCAACCTCTTGAAGGCAAATCCGCTGGATTTTGGGTTCCCGGAACAAACTTCCAGTCACTAGCTTTTGAAAGTCTTCTAATTTCGTCAACTCGATTGGATACGAAAATCGTCCAAGGGCCTTCTTTCCTTATCCAACAAAGAGTATCCATGGAGTCGCTCCAAAAAAATGTTTCAATATCTTCCAATCTTAAATCCTTTTTTATGTGTCAATCTAGCTCCAATGTTACATGCAAGTAATTCTAATCTTGGTATGGACATTTTTTTCAAAGGGGCAACTCTAGATCTTGCTTGAATAAGTTGGCAAGTAACTTTTCCATTCCTTTCCGCCCTCAAAAAGATGCAAGTCGCATATGCCACCATGGAAACGTCACAAAAGATATGAAGTGTTAAGCTTGATTTAGAAAGATTTAAGTTTGAAAGTCTACGAGGAATTTTGAAGTTGCTCAATTCTTTTCATTCTTCTTTCCATTTTTTCGAATCTCTTAATTATTTCGTCGGGCAATTTTGAATCCCAAGAAATTCCAATCTTCCAGCATTCTTGTAGAAGAAGTTTCGGGATCAACGTTATAAGACAAGTGAACCCTATAGAATCGAACAGCTGGTGTGCCATAGATAGGATTTCAAACTACGGAACTATAGGACTTGTATTTTATCAAATTTTATCGATTCTAAACTTCTTATATGGATTTGTATTTTATCAAATAATTGCCGAAAAATTTTTACATCTCCAGAACGCTTTAAAGGGGTAATTTCTAATAATTGACTCATGTTTCTTTTCTTCCGAAGCCCTGTTCTAGCAAATCAATACCTTTAACATAATTTTCTGAAAAAATAGCAAAACCTCCTATCGTTTCTAAAGCTGTTCCACATAGATGAGCTTTTAAATAGTTAAATTTACTGACATCATCTAACGATTTGTTCTTATGTATCGATGTTTCGAAAGAGTTCCAGAAAGCGAGCCAATCACTTATATTTCCCGAAAACTTCGGGATTACTATCTTCGATAATTTAATATTCAGCATTTCTGGTTTCGTTTCTACTTCCACTTCCCGATTAGTAGTAAGAGCTACATGTTGGGGAAAATTGAGAGGTTCCCGAATATTTTTCTTTTGATTCAAATTACGCAAATATTTATTAGCTTTAAATCTCCACGTTACTATCTTTTCACGGTATTCTTCTGCTGTTTCNAAATTTATCAAAGTCATAGGACTTTATTCTCTGCTTTAAAAAATAACACCGTAGTTTAACCTTGTGACCAAATTTTAACCTAGTGCCTGGCGCAGTATAGCCATTTCTGGCTCTTGCGCCAACCAACCAACCAATCTTCTGCTGTTTCTAATTCTTTATCGAAATCCTCTGGTTTAAACAGATTTTCTAATTCAGAATCAACTGTTTTGAGAGACTCGAATTTATCATTTAATTGTTCAATAATTAGATCAATTTCGGTTTCTTCATCAGTTATTTCCTTTTTTTTGAATTTCTGATTCTATCTTTGAAATTAGCTTAGTAACTGATGTTCTTAACGTAGTGCGTTTCTTTTTAAGGAGCTCAATGTTTGTGGCCATTTTAAAGCTATTATTATTCACAGTATTTTCAGTTCCAGTGTCCTTTTATTTTTATAACACTATAAATCAAATTTATAATAATAGTTCTTAATTTATTAAAATACGAATCGATAGTGCTGGCTGGGATGCCATGTTAAAAAAGATAACTTATTTCTTTGTCTACTTCAATAGAACAGGTATAAATAAAAGGTTTCTTACCTTGTTCTTCTACCCGGGTCGGTACGTACCTAAATAAATCAAATCAGTGACCACAAACTCAATAAAAATACTCCTGGTGGATTGGTTAACATGTATATATTAACAGCACTAAACACTACAAAAACAACATGATCTCTCCAACGACAGTAGTCACTGTGGCATCTTTGACATAATCAAACTAAATAAAAAATTGTTGTTCTTAGAGAGTTCTAAATCTCGTGGCGCCATCTATCGGTTCGTTTTCTAGCAAAGGAAAATGGTATTCTGTTTTTAACACCATTATCCCTAATTTCACAACTGCCTCTCGAGCCTTTTCCTGTTACATTGGTCCTGATACTTGTTATTTTTTGCTTCTAAAACCATTCAAAAACACATCTGTCAATTTTATATCCAGGCCCTTTTTCTGAGGATATCCTAATTCGGTTCTTATTTCCTTTTTCGCACCAAAGTTTCATAAGTTTTTTCCTATTTTTCATGATGTCTGCTGCCTGAGACGTTCCAATTTTAAAGTGTTTTGCCAATTTTCGGACACTTATGATCTTTGGAATACTCTAATAGTTAAATTTTTTCCCTACAAAGTTAGAACTTTACGAGACATTGTTGAACAAGAAGAGACTTTCTCAAGAATAAAGATGTTTTAAAAGCTTTATCTCAAATACTCCTTCAACAGATGTAGTTACGAAGAAAGGAAAATGTTTTTCATAATTACGCAGATATTCTAGTTAGTCATATAATACCGAATGGACACTTATATTCCTACGTTACTACTCCCAGTCGGTTATAATCAATACTTTTATTCCCCCCATAACTTGATCACCCCTCCCTGAAAGTAAATCTCCAGTAATGCATAGAAAAAGAAACAAGACAACGCTTACCTGTAAGACACTAGGCCCTACGGAATTGTATTCGCAATCGATCATTTGTCAAGAGTTTGAATAAACGTTTGATTTATATGAACACCTCGAATATTTATATTCTATTATTTTAACCCAGCTGGGATGTGTGCAGGGATCAAACTGATTAGGAGTAGAGAGGAAATTTCAGTAGGGAAGAGGGATTGATAACAATTAATGTGTCAATTAAACTTTTGGGGTCTCAAGACTGAGCATGTAGGGTCACAACTGTGTCCGTCCCAATAAAAAGACCCAAAGATGCGAATGTCCGAAATATTTTACATTGAGTAGAATCATTTTTCTTTCTTTCTTACCAAAGATAAAATCGAAAAGATAAAGAAAGGGGACAGGAGAATGATGGATTCTTCTTTAGAACTGAAATAGCTTAATGTTTTTAGTTATGGATAAGACAAAAAATTTATATGTTTTAAAGATGGTGGAGCGAGGCATTTTTTCCCCTTAAATTTCATAGTAAATGTTTTGGACAGAGCCGCAAAGGCACGTTGTTTAAGGCAATGAGCTATCATTGCGAAGTATTGGGATTCTCTCCCACGAGTTTCTTTGTCTTCTTGGTTATGTAATTAAACGGACAGCGGACACAAATTTAGAAAAAGTAGTGTCCGCTCTGAAGAGAGAGAAAATAGCGTTTCAGGGCAAAAATGACTGTCCGCATCACGGAGAATGAACACAATGGTTTATTCATGGAGGATTCCCGGGGAATTAAAAATATGTCCGTATTGAGAGGCGTCCTTTTTGCAGGAGTGTCCATAGCAGGAGGTTTCACTATATATATTTTGTCCATTAAAAAAAATCAAGAACTGTTTTGCTGTTCATATTGTTGTCAATAGGAAAGTTTTTGTTCATTGTGCAGGTAGCTAGCACCTCTCTTAAACTAGTGATCACATATTGTTCATATGAATCGCTATTAGATCTATGTTCTTATAATGTAGATTTATCGAAAACTTCCATTCCGTGGTTGTAGATTTTCTTTCATTACCATACATAATGGTAATTTTAATGTGTTAACGTAACTTCTCCACATTTTATTATGGAATTTTTCTAGGAATGGAAAGCCAGTTTGTCAAGTTACGACCGAAACAGAATCGTCTGCTATCCCCTTTTGACTTTGACTCGATCATGTTGTATGGCGAGACGGTTTTCAGTAAAAGTCATTATGATGGTCTGAAAACGATGACTGCAAAAGATGGAAGGAAATTAGAAGACGTATACGACAAGCCCGGTTTAAGTAAAGACGATATTCTTCGAATCAAAACTTTATATCAGTGTTAAAATTCTATGTTTTATATTGCAAACCTAGAATTCATTTTTATTTTGAATGCAAAATAAAATATATCTTTCATTTAAGCCTTGATATTTTTTCAACGATGCATTAACCCCTTAACGTATATTTCAGAAAAATGGAAAAAAATTTGACTGTTTAATTTTGTTCTTTATATTATTATAAAAGTTGGAAAATGGTTTTTTATTACAAAAATTAAATTCGAAATTCATTACTACTGTATTTATAATTTTTACATACACATGAAGAAGTAATGGATTACGCACACATCTTCAATTAGAGCAAATTAAACAAAATTTAAAAACTGAATATAATATTACTAGTATAATATAATATAAAAACACAACAATATGATTTTCAATACATAAATCTTACAAATCTTTTACTGTATAGTATATCCCAAACCCCCACTCACATTTCCATCCCTCGACTAAAGTCGTAATCGGTGAAAAACTAGGACCACTAGTGCCATCTATTTGGGAAATAGGGAATTAAATATCCTAAATTAGAAATGAACTGAGCTCGGTCTTCACAAAATAGCAACGTTAGTTTTTCTCCTGCCCGAAGGCAGTTCGGGCATTACAAATAATGCACGTAGTAGTTAGCGACTCTGACAAGGGAATATTTAGTAAGTAATATTTATATTAAATTACATTACATTAGTTAAGTAATATTTATATTAAAATTATTCGCTGTTATAAATAAGTATTAATTTAATTTGCTAAAAATAAGCAAAGCAATCTGAAATAACACTAACAATTGTTCCGGAGCGAGAGTGCAATCGTTACCTTGGCACCCACTACTGTTAATAGTAAATAGAAAAAAAAAGAGTCTATAGTTTGTCTACGGTAAGAACTCCCCACGCCGCAAAGTCTGAGGCCGCCTGCTGCTATGAAAATAAGAACTGCACATTTCAGAGAGGGTAGCTTCTCTTCTCTCTAGGGGTAACGCAATAGACAGGAGAAAAAAGAGTCTCTTTCTTACGAGTCAAAACACCCTTAATTGAAATAGTTATACCCCGTAACCATAGTCACCACCACGGGTCCAGACGAATGGCTAGGAGAGTTCTTACTTTATGGAAACTATATCCAATACCTCCTAGAAAAGAGAGGGCCTCAGCACGGGTTACCATAAGGAAGAAATTTGATCCTTTAGTAGTGCAAACGTAATGACATCTTTCTTATTTACCACCACAGCGCAGCTTAGTAGCCCGAACGTAGTAACATCTTTCTTATTTTTAATCCACTGCGCAGTTTATGTTCGTTAAGTCGAACACTAAATTGATCCTTGCTGAGGCCTTCTTTCTTCTAGGAGGTGTTGGTCTGTCAGGATCGGATTTCCTTTTTAATTTTTTAGACCTTTTTTTCCCCCTTATTTTGTAGTTATTTGAAAACCTTTATCTGTTTCTTACGCCGAGTTATTAACCTTAGTTGGTGGGATATCACCACGTTCTACACAATAAGCAAATATTTTTTCTTCCAATAAGAGGGCATTCTTGATCAACTTGACTCTTGCATGAACCTTTTTAATTAATCTCAAAAATAAGTAGTTTAATAGATTACACAAAAAAGGTCTTTCTTGCCTTGATGATGTTTTTCCCCTCTTCAAATCCGCTGTTTACTGCCTTAGCTTTTAGAGGTTAATGAAGAGGATAACCACGAAAACCTCACACTGTTAGCCTAACGGCAGGGGGATTCTAACCCATGTTCCGTCTACCACTGAGGATACTTAACGTCAGCACTTTGGTAGGCGCAACCCGGATGCAGAATTCGGATCCACCAGCCATCGCTTGGATTCGAACCAGGTTCACCTCATTGGAAAGCGAATACTCTATCATCTGAACCATTATGGCTTTAATTCATCTATACGTTAATTTGTAATGCTATGCTCTGTAATGTTAATTCGACTTGCGCTTTTCTACAGTTTAATTTTTGAAAATGTAAATAATTAACGCTTCTTTATTAATCACTTTTAATTCCACTCACACAATGACTTAGACATTTCTCTCAAAGCAAAAGATTTATTCGCCTTTCCGTCTATCATGCACCACAATTCAATTACAGTTTTTTTTTTTTTTTTTTTTGCAGAATTTACACAATTTTATTTGTAAAGTGTTTCTTTAAGGAAGGATTTATGTTCAGCATTATTTTCTCTCACATTTTTCTTTCTTCGTTTGTTTATTGTGTACGGCTATTTTCTAATGAAGTGCGTAAATAAAAATGAAACTTAGTTATTTTGGATATATTTCAACTCGGTCAAATACAGTGATCAAAAATAAAAAATATTAAAAAAAAAAAAACGAGCACACACACACAAAAATTAGAAATTATTTTTAAATTTTTTTCCCCAGGTACAGAAAGTCATTGATAATTTATCGTATCAGTATCTGTTTGTATCTGATAATGAAAAAGTTCTAATCCAAACTTAACTCCCTATCTTAAAGACATCAGATTTTAGAACTCGATTTAGTTCAGACTTTACTTTTGTCGTCCTATTTTTTTAACTAGTGACTTTTGCTATACCTTAGCTTACGTAACTATATTGGTTTTAATCTAGTTATTGATTTAAGCCTAGTTTTAGGTACAGCGCAGCCAAATCGTGACTGTATAAACTAACATACCTGACTTTTTGTTTTTAATTATGATTATATCAACTCATTTTTTCCTTTAATTCGTTTTTATCAAGCCTCCATCTGCCCGGCATATGGTGTGTTTTATATTCCATTAAAATCGAATTTTCTTTTGACTTTTATCTTATGGGTTACACAATAGTTTTGATTTTGATCAACAGGTTCATAACAAATGGGAGTTCAGTAACAAGTTATCAATGAATGGTTGGTGAAATTATAATTCATACTGCACCATATGGTGTACAAAAGATATATTCCTGTTCGCGCATAAACCTTACTTAATATGAATCGTAGTACTTAGGCAAAAGTTTGGGTGGCAGATGTGTGTTTGTTATGGGGGTGAGGGGCCACCCTATAGAGGGGAGTCTTCCCTCTCTTCTCCATCCAATTCATTCATTGAGGAGGAAGCTCCTGAAATCAAAACGACAGGTTGATTGGAAAGGGAGGGAATGGAGTGCCCCATATGGCAGCGTAGGCCACAAAAGTTAACTGTATCTAGTGATCCACACCGCAGGTGGCATGTGGTGTTACACCTGTTCGGTATCTTAATATATATAGCCTGCATTAACTTAAGTTTCAATACGACGTTATTAATTAATTAGTGATATTAATTACTGTCCCTGGCCAAATTATTAGACACACTGTAAAATCTTAATTATCAAGTGATACTATACAGCTTTATTGTTTTTACGCAACTGAAACCGGTTTGCACTTGTTTACGTTCGTGTATCAATTGGTTAAATTAGACGATATATAATATAAATTAGACTATTGGATAAATTAGACGATATATTATATGAATATAGAATATTTATTATACCAGGTATTATATTGGAATATTATAATAATTAGACCAAATTATTAGACGCACTGTAGTGTTTCAGAAATTACGTGTTTTGCGCTAATTTATAAGCAATACTTTTATATTTAAACATGCATGTAATGGGTTTTTATAATGGAGATTTTTTATATTCTTTCTATTTGTTTTTATTTTTAACGTATTGTATTACAATGTTAACCAATTGATACATTAACGTAAGCAAGTGCTAACCGCTTTTAGTCGCGTAAAAACGATAAAGCTGTATAGTATCACATGATAATTAAGATTTTACTTGGAATCTTATTGTGCGTCTACTAATTTTGCCAACTTTCCATTTTTAAATTTAGAAGAAAAAAAAATGCAATAAAATGGAAACAAGAAAAGTTTTACGGTAAAAGTAATAAACTGTTGATTTTATATAATAACTGTTAATTATGCGTAATCACCACTAAATTTTGGTAAATACGATGATTTTTCGAAAGTTTATCAAATTAACCGATTTGTTTGCATAATTCCCAATTCGTAATGGTAAATGTGATAAATATCATGACTGATTGGGCCAGTGAAATAGAGTGCAGTTTATTTTTTTTATTTATTTATTTATTTTTGAGTAGTTACGACTCAGAAAGATGTTTTTTTGTTGAACACTATGGCGCAAGAGACCACGAATTACAATATTTTCTATTAAAAAGTCAATAAATGGCTATTTTAAATCACATACATTTATTTAGCCTGAGCGAAATTTGAACCAGGAACTGCCAGGTGTTGTGAAATGAAAAAAAAAATACAATTTACATGAACTTGTACAAAACAGTTGCACTTAAAAAAAAAAACCTGCAGTTACATATAAGAAACAAAGTAAGCACATATTCAAGAGAAAAAAAAGAGAATTTTTTTTTCAAATAGCGTTAATTGCTATTAATACAAGTTACTAAATACTTTAAGTTTACTTATTTAAGCATATTAGACTGTTATGACATTTAGAATTACAAAGTTAGCCAGATTTTTTACATTTGCACTTATCAGACTAGCATTGTCCCTTACAAACACATCGCTGTTATCCCTGACATCCAGAAAGAGATGTCTTTCTAACGCATTCTCGAAGTGATATTGCTAGAACTGGAACATCGTCAAGCAAAATAAATTTTTCTTCACAAATTGTGAATTGATTTCTGGTATACAACTCTGAAAGTCTTCCTTTTTTATCACTTTATTAGGGACTTTTATCACATTTACCATTACTAGTTGGTAATTATGTAAGCAAACCGGTTAATTTGATAAATTTTCAAAAATTCCATATTTACCAAATTTAGTGGTGATTATGCCTAATTACCGGTTATTATACATAATCACCTTATTAATCACATTAACCGTAACATATATATATATATATATATAATCCGTCCCGCAGTGGACTGATCGTTAAGACACGGTTCCCGGCAGATCACCGAAGTCAAGCATCACTGGCTACGGTCAGTGTGCGTTTGGGTGACCACTTGGATCAGTCTGCGAAGGGACCGAGGGTGTGCGGTATGGGTCCTCGTTAAACTGTTCTACCGTAAAGTGTTCGACTTCGCGTGCAGGTCGTCGGGCTACCGAAGCGGGGGTGCCATACCCTCTTCAGAGGATCAAAATTGTGATGCCAATCAAAATTGTGTGATCATGTCTTCGGATTATCCTCAGGGGTGTTTCCCAGACCGTCGCTAATAGCCCATCGCGCAGCTCTAGTGAGACGTAAATTAACTACAACAACAGCATATAATCAAATGTTTTACTTGTATTGGTTTCAACCAATCACATAAATATGCTTCATCAACATATTGGCCATCTTCGGAATAGATCATGCCAAGGTCCTTTTAAATGTTTGATTAAATTTCGGATTACTAATTCTTGAACCCTAGGTGAACCTTGTCGGATTAGTTCTTCATGAAAAAAATTATAAGAAATAATATAAGTAACGCTCACATTGAAAAAAAGTTATAAAGGAGAATATCTCTTAATTGTTTATAAAAGAAACATACTACACAATACAGGTCATAGACTGGCCGGCATTCTTTGAAAAAGCCTAACCTAGATTTTTTTTTAGAATTTTCTTGAAATCTTTATTTCTAAGTAAATACTGTACCTAAATTTATTATTTTTGAATAAGATATTACAGGCAAGAATTGTGTGAAAGATAAATATGTTGAAAAAACAAACAGTTGGGAACTGTTTATCTAGTATATTGTGGCATATGCAAGTGCAGTTCTTTTTTCTTTAATGCTGTTGAATACAACGCTAAACATACTATACAGACAATGCAAGTAAAAAGTATTTTTTGTCGTACAAAAAAAAAAAAAAAAAAAAAAAAAAAAAAAAAAANCAAAAAAAAAACATAATAGATATTAATTGCACATACAATTTGATATAACTTACCAGTAACATTTTTCTTTAAAACTTTAAACCTTTCTGTTTTATGCCTTGAGTAAACGGTACTACGCGGCCTAGGCACCCAGTTTTTTGTTAAATAAAGCGTAAAAGAGTAAACGGAAAATTTCCTGTAATTTCATGTAACGTTTCGTTTTCGCTGTATAACGGAACTTTTCCTTTAATAAAATGAAAATTTATAAAAAAAATCACAGAAAAACATCAGTAAATTTCTGGAGTCAATTTTACAGTGTAAAATAACAAACTTAGGGTGCAGTACTTGATTTTAAATCTAGGTGTGGAAGGAATTTCAATACGAAAAAAATATAATTATTTAAGTGATGCGACCTTTATTTTTTTTTTTTAAGGTGTGGCAAAGTAAATTTTTTTCGCTGCTTAAAAAAGTTTATTATTATTATTTTTCATCATTTAAGTTTATTTTATTTATTCTTAAGTCCTGCGCCGGTAAGTTATTTATGTCGGATAGTCATCGAAATATTGATACGCTATATGGGCTTGTGCTGTTTAGAAAACAATGGTAACTTGTATCACGCTCAGTCACGATTCACCCTATTTTGATCACTCTGTTTTAATCACATTATCTATTTTAATCAACATCATCTTACCTTTTTCGGTATATGTATTTCATCCATAAAAACTTTGTAGATGAAATCTATCATCCTAACATTTTTGCATTTATACGCGCAATTGATATTTTATATTGCCTATGACTGTTTAATGGAGTTATACAATTTTATCTGATTTTAAAAACTTTTGAATGCACCTGTTTCTTTCGGTTCCGTTTTATCAATTTCATGTATTTTAGTAAGGTAAAGTTCTAGTACATATCTTTTGATTTTTTTAAAAAACCGTTTTATATATATATACANTATATATACAATATATATATATATTTTAAAATCTAATTACAATTTTTAATAAGTTCTCTCTTTTTTGATTAATTTTCTTTTAATTCAACTATCAAAAAATTCTTACGTTTTAAAATTTATTTTTGTTAAAAGTTACAAATTAAAATAACAGATTTTTGAGACTTAAAATAACAGACCTTTCTGAAGAACGCTGATGACATACGGTACAGCATAAAAGTTTAAAAGGAAAAAAAGTTTTTTGAATTTTAGAACAATATTGTGCGGTGAAATTGATAGCAAATGTTAGTTAATAAATGAAATATAAATCGAGAATGAAAAAAAAGCAGTATTTACGTTAGGCGCAGTAGAAACCTGATTTAAATGTAAATCGTTTCTTCTAGCTAAACTCATTAGCTAATATTATTATCATACTATTAGTTGCGTAGTTTTTTTTTTTCATTATCACGATAGTACGTAATTAAACCTCTACCTCTTTCTTGAATTTTTCAGAATACGCCTGCCTCTGCACTTTAGAATGTATTTCATCCAAAGCTTATATTTGTCAACTGCGTGCTTTTGTAACTACGATTGCTTGTAAAAATTGTATCTCATCTTATATAGTAAATAAGGTTCAAAATTAAAGCTGTGTTGCTCCGTGCTTTATTAAAATCGATTGACACTCCTTTTTAAAACATTTCATTAGAATTTTTTTTCTTAAATGTATCTCATTGGAAAATCTGGCTCAGACAAAACATCGCAGTCACTATCAGGCTTATTGATAATTAACTAATTATTATTAATTGACTTTAGAATTTCTTAATCAGCCTAACAAGTTTGCTGCTTATAACAAAGTGCCCTTATAATTTTATGTTAATAATACATTAAATTATTAATTAGATATTTATCCCGATTTTTTTCTGACTGTTTATAAATACTACTTTGAAGGCAAATTAAATAATATCATTCATTGTTCAATCAATCTGATTCACTATGTTTCTCTGATCGAATTGTCGTCGTAATACAAGGTTCGTTCTATTAAACTTAGAAAAAATCTTCGTACATTTTTTAAGTATCCTGAGCACATATGAACTGATTTCAATAAGCCTGAAAATTATCTTACTGAATAGAAAAAAAACCAGACTTATCCTGTTAGGCAAGATAACAGTGACATAAGCATATATATATATAACACAAAGACAAAAAGGATAAAAAGAAAAGAGAAAATAACTGGAAAAATTAAGAATAATAATAAGTTTTATTTTTTCAATGTTCTTTCTGTATTTTTGACTCTAACATTTTTTCGAATTTTCTAAACATTTAAATTACTAGAAATTAATAAAGAAAACTTTTTTATAACTTATTCAAGAGAAG